TTTTTACGATATTTTAATTTTTAAATGAGTTATGAATTCTGATGAATAACCAGAATAACAATTATAATAACAGATGTCAAATTATATAGTTGTGTGGTACTAATTGATATATGCGCATAATATGTACAACAGAGAAGAACTTTTTGATAATTTAATATAATTATTTAGATGTGTCACTGTACAAAGGTGCGTGAATATTGTCGTAATGAATAGATTTTTATCAATATTCGCATACCAATTACCAGCTAGTGTTAGTGCTGCATAGCCATCCAATAACGTACATTAATACACAGAATAACTTGTTCTATGATTAATACTTTTAACTTTATAATAGTCGCATAACAATATTATTATTAATAATAATTATGGCAGTGACTCCAGTTTCCAGTCTCCAAGTGTCAGATAAAATTGATAACTATTGCAATAGTACGGAAGCGTAGGAGTGCCACCCAAATTATAGGAAATGTTTTTCAATATTTGTTATAACGGATATAATTTCTGTTATTACAAATAATTTATCTGTTATAACGGATATAATTTCTGTTATAACAAATTACTTACCTATTTGTTTTAACGGATATATTTTCTGTTATTACAAACAGTTTATTTGTTATAACGGAAATATTTTCAACTTAGTTTAAGCATAATTTTTTTTCAATATTTAATATAACGGATATAATTTCTGTAATTACAAATAATTTATTCGTTATAACGGATATATTCTCAACTTAGTTAGTTAGTCTCAACTAATTTGTGTTCATATTATATATTATGAATTTATGATTGATTAACATACATTAGTATTATAATGGACATCGATGATGTAATATCGAGGTATTTTAGTTTAAGGTACGGTTTCCAAGGCGCGACCCATTTCGTATAGAGTGATTTCCAAGACGCGACATGTCGCAGCGGCCGAACTGCTTTTCAATCAGCGTTCGTAGTTAACATACGTTTTTTAGTTTATTTTCAAACTTGTCCGAGTACGCACGTCTTTTTCATTAAATTTTATAATGAATAGTTATATTTATAATAATAATAACATTCTTCTAACACTTTTATTAGAAGAAGAAGACCTAATTATAGGTGCTACTTCATTGCCAAAAAATAGAAAACCAATACATGAAATATTTAAATATCGGGACAGTGAAGGATTTTATGAAATTCTTATCAATAGACATTTAAAAAACAACAATATACAATTTCGTGAATTTTTCCGTTTAAATTGTCAACAGTTCGATTTTTTATTATCTTTAGTAGAAAATCAGTTAGTTTTACAACCTACAAATCGTATAAAAAAACCAATAACACCAGCAGAAAAATTAGCAGTCACTTTAAGGTAAATTATTTATTTATTTTATATTTGAATCAATAGAGTATTACCTAAATTTTCTTTTATAGATACGTTGCCACTGGCGAATCTATAAGATCTTTGTCGTTTTCATTTCGAATAAAGCATTGGTATTTGAGCAGTATCATAAAAAATACACTAGCTGCGTTAAAAATTAAATTGATGCCAATTTTTATGCCTGATATAAAAGATATTGATTTTAAACAAAAAGCTGCAGAGTTCTCTTACAAATGGAATTTCCCGAACTGTATTTTGGCCATTGATGGAAAACACGTCCGAATCCGAAGTTCAAGTAATTCTGGATCACTTTTTCACAATTATAAAGACTATTTTTCCATAGTACTTTTGGCAATGGTGGATGCCAATTACAAGTTCGTAGCAGTCGATATAGGTTCATTCGGTAAAGAGGGTGATAGCGGTGTTTTTTTAAAGTCCAATATGGTAAAACAAATTTTAAATGGCACTTTTAAATTCCCAGAGGATTGTAATCTCCCTGGATCTGATAAGGTGGCTCCTCATGTAATCGTAGGTGACGAAGCTTTCCGTTTACATAAGCACATTATGAAACCATACACTCGTAAATCTTCCAGAGCAAATCCTGCAGAATCCGTCTTCAATTACAGGTTAAGTCGCGCACGAAGAGTGACTGAAAATGCTTTTGGACTATTGAGTCAAATTTTTAGGATTTTTTACCAACCAATAAATTTAGAAATCACGACAATTGACGACCTTGTATGGGTAACTTGCTGCTTACATAATATGCTACGTGAAGGTTACATGGAAAAAAATAAACGACCCTTTTTCGATCTTAATTCGGAAGAACCACCGCCTTTTACCAATATGATGCCACTATCTCGAAGAGGAGGATTTTCAAATATGGAAGGGTTCGAGGTCAGAGAAATATTCAAAACATTTTTTAATGACACGAGGGTGCTCTTTCTTGGCAACCAAACTTTTAAAAATATATGAAAATACATTATATTATCTATATTCTATATATGTAATTCAGTAGGTATTGTAGTACATTAACACATTCAAGTTAATTATATTTCGTTCATTATTATCAATAGTATTAAAGTTAACATTAAGTAAGCACCATTTTATGTTATAATCATTTATATTTTTAATAACTTCTGAATAATTTCGAAAATGTAATTATTAAATTAAAAATAATTAAATACATTTTAGTAATTAAAATATGTTAATATTTCATTATTATGAAAAAAAGATACTACTTAAAACTAACAAATACAACTTTTACGGGGTTGAATCATYAAAATTGTACAAACTAAATTGAGAACATGTAGATTCTGAGTATGAATTTGCTGTTGTTGATGGAGATTCTTGAAATAATTCTGGTGACTGATAACATTGTTGTTCAGTTGGAACGTGAAAATTTGAGGGTTGACCAATAGCTTGAAATGAATTAATGGGTTTTTCGGGTACTGAATACTTCTCCTCTAATTCTGCCATCAATGCAAACATTCTAACTTTTGTTTCACGTTTTCCTTGACTAGGAAACTTTTTAGCTGTTAAGGCCGAGGTTTTAAAAAACATATCCATATCATCTATTTGGTGATTATCATTCATTAAAATCTTTTTATTTTGGGCTTGTATTTGTTTAATTAACAAATTACGTTAATTTGATCGTTTTATGAGCATGTCAGACATTTCTTTTTTTGTAGAACCACGCTTTTTAGCGAATGTTTTGGTGGGCGAGTTATTATCCGTTTCATAACATACCTCATCTTTTTCTTCTGCATCACAAGAATAATCAAGTTCTTGAATAGAATTATCATGTTCTTGAGTTTGAACAACGTTCGATGTCGAACTGTAAATTTAAATATTACACGATTAATATATATTTATAWTTAAAAATTATTATTGAGCATTGAAGTATTATATAATATAAATACATTATTATTTATTACTATATAGCAGGGAGCAAATTATTTGAACGTTACATGCCAAGAATAACCTTTTTTCTTTTTTGAATATGCCATGATTATATGTGTATATTATACAGGGTGATTTTTTTATCATGAACCAGTAAATATCTCGGTAAGTATTAGAAATTTTAAAATCTATCTTACAAAATATATTTATTAACTTAAAAGTGTTATACTAATGGTATTTTTGCATATCCTACATATTTTACCTATGCATATTACAATTTCTTGGTCCATACTTTTATGTTTGCACATCAAAATTTGGTTTTTGAACTCCAATGTATGTAGTTTGAAGTTTCTAATGAAATAATTTCATAACTTAAAATGTTCTTTGTATAAGACTTAAAAATTAAATTTATATTTCAATTTAAACAGCAAAACTTACTTACAATAATGATTTATCTTTATTAACGATATTAAATATGTCATATTCATTACCTACTCAATCACTTCTGTGTTATGGCAATATTATACATATTATACCTACATATCGACATGGAAAAACCAATATTTAATACATAACTACCTTTTGTTTTATGTTTTATATTTAAGAAGATATGTTGTATAATTTTTATTTTTATATCAGATGGTGAATTATAACTTGTAAATTACAAAAAAAAAAAATATTTTTTAATACATACCTAGTGTATCTTAATATTAAATACATTTTTTTTTTTTTAGAACTACTTTCAGCGTATAACTATTATGGTACGATAATTACAATAAATACATATATGGATAATTAAGATTAACATGACCTTAATAATAAGATAATATGAATAGTGGCTTTTCACCGAGAAACATCTTGAATAATTCTAGGCTTTCTAGAAAATTCACTAGGAATGTAGATCTTCAGACTTACTAATGATCTACTAATATCATTAATTTTTTTACCATTTAGGCGTACTCTAAGAGGACCTGTATGCATCCAAAGATGTATGAGTTTACGCATAACCCCTAATAACACTAAATGCATATAATCTAATGGGAAGCATTTAACAATATAAAAATTAGGAAGCTCAATTAAATTTGAAGTAATACCTTCTCTAACGTGATGTTGTTTTTGAACCATAGCTACATAACCATCGTGAGTTCTCGACTGACACCCTGTTTCTAAATACGGAAAACATGTTCTATTATTCAAATATTCACCACTTTGAAAACACCGGGTACATGAAGAAAAACCCGAATGTCCTTTTATTTTTAAAAGAAATGAACGAKCCGAGGCATCACAGCAAAATGCTCTAATTGAAACTTTGTATAGTATATTTCCCAACTCTAACCCATTTAATGTTAAATCTTTAGCTTCACATATAAACTTTTCAAGATAATCATTACTGTCATGGGGTTTTTCATTACCATGATAAATTCCTACAGGGAATACATGATTAGAGTGTGGATATATGTATGCTAAAATAGGCCAAAACTGGCTAGAACTACTTTTAGATAAAGGTAAACCGTCTACTCCAACCATGACTTCTATCTCACTATCCAGTTTAAACTTCAATGAAGAATTCTTAATACCTTCCTTTAAACCAAAATGATAGTATATTCCAGGAGTTAAAATATCTATATTTGTGGTTTTTGATGACCCAGACTGTAGTAATGTTCTACAGTCTAAGGGCAATTTTTGTAATGGAAGATAATTTTCTTCTTTAAGAATTGATAGTAATTTGTTGATAGTCACATGCGGAATATTACATTCTATAGCCCATTTTTTTAGTTTCAAATCTATAGGTATTTTAGAATAAGTAATATCATTTGGAGTGTTTGTAATATTATCGAGGGGAAATAAATCATTATTAAAACTATTTTTATCATAATTCGATTGATTATAGTCATGGTCATWATAACTATTGGATGCATTTGTTAAACTTGAGTTTTGTATTGTTGAGTCAATAATTTTATTAATTGGACGTTGTTCTAATAAACATTCATTTTTTTCATTGTTAAGTAAAAAGTTGTCAGGTGTATTAATATTTAAATCTGAAGATTGTTGGGGCAGTTGATGACTGTTAGTTGTACATAATTATGGTTGATAGGAATTTATAGTGGAAATTTCATCTACAATTTTTCTCCGTTTGGATCTATAACTTTTTATCATTCTAGAATGCCTTAGTATGATGTGGACAAAAAATCTACATGAGAAATAAAAACATACAATTTAATTAAACTTTGCTTCCGGGTAAAACGTTATTTTAAAAACAAGCAAAAAGCCAAAAAAAAAAAAGGGATAGGATTCTCCGTCACAACCACGTGTATGAACACTTTATAATATAAGTACCTAGGTACCTTATAAGTTATAATAATAAAATATAAAAATAAATATCATGAGATAGTATTAATGCATAATAATAAATCATTATAATAACATAGGTTAACAATATTTTACCTGATTGATCTCTCTCAACTCTTGTTTGTAGTGTTGAACGCGTATAGCCACTTCACCACTATAATATATCCACCGTAGGTATTTATAATACTCGTATGCAATCACTGAATCACTTATTAAACACAAACGTTGAGTTAAGACTTCGTGTAACTTGGTTATGACTTATATCATTGATTATGAATTAATGACTATTCATAATCAATGCTTATATTATTGGTGTTCTGTAGTGTGCCGTGTGGCGCGTATTGCGTATACCGATTACCGACGACCAACGCGTTGTCCCGTATGGCGTATATCAACTCGTGGAGAAAAGGCGGTTATTCAGTTATTGGTTAGGTTATTAACAATAGTAACTGTTTACTTGGCGTGGCGCGTCGGAGTACGGACGAGTGAGAGACGCGTGCAGTGTGTATCTACTGCAGCTATTATAGAATTCACTGATAAACAATCATCATCGATACGTATTTTTATTCGATCGCAGAAATACAGAATTGCCCGTCAACGTATCATATTATTATAATTTATATTTAGCATTGATATTATTAATATAACTGATACGAGTATACGACACGCCTATACTGGCGTATGGGTTGCGACTTGCGGTCTTTTCTAAGGAAGAGAGAAAGTTCAATATCTACGAGAGAGCTGATAAACTATAATAKGCCTTTTTTGAGGTTAAGATCATATATGTAATATGAAATATACCTACTTCATAGTTGAAAATCTATATCATAGGAATATGTGTATATATTTTTTTTTAAATTATGGACAATATTATTATTGTGATACTTTATTTATTGTAAATTTGTATTTATGTAACATTTGATTAGTTACTGTAATCAAGCCCGGATTAAGGGGAGGGCAAGGGGCCCAAAGTGATACATTTTTATTATTTTAAAGAGTTGTATAATATAACACAACCATGTTATGGCCCCTGAATGTTTTAATCCGGACTAGACACTAAAATACTAAGTGTACAATTCTTAAACCTATAATAATATTATATTAAAAGATTGTGTGACATTTACAACTGTTCCAGCAAATCGATTTCTTGATCAATAACGACTTTATTAGTAGGTATTTAGAAGAAGAGTAATAAAATAACTAGGTATATTTATTAAATCCAAATAGTAGTTGCTTACCAGCTATAATATTAAAACTCTTATATAGTACCTAAACTCTTCAGAATTTCTGGTACAAACCTAAAATGTTACCTTTATTATGTTTTAAAAATATAGTTAGGTAGGTATATATTATAGAAATTTCTTTATACATATAAAACACTTGTTGGAATAATTATTTTTCAATATTTTAACAATAATATTATGTATTCAAAAATTATTTAAARTGTTTTGTAATACACATAATAAGATATACTGTTGTCACTTGTCTGTTATACAATATACAGTACACTGCAGGGTAAACATCTTACTAGTTACTATATGAGTACCTATAATAATTACATGAACGCTCTTATAAAGCATAAATATTATATTATATTTTTACCAACTATATATATTTAATTTGTATATCAAACCGAAACTATAATGGGTATTATTTTAATCTACAAAATTCTTATAAAATAAACTACCTAATACCTAATAAAATAAATTATTTCTAGACATAAT